TACACCCGCAGCGGGCAATCCAGCGCTCCAGCGCAGTGAGCGGAAGCGGCGTACACGCGCACCACCGCAGATAACGTGTTTAGGAAGGGGCACCACTGGAGGGGAGCGGTGGGGAGGGGGCGCAAAAACAAACACCGCCAGGCAGATACCATCGTGCCGCCACCCACGCGCCGTAATTACATGCGGACAGCAGATGGCGGCGGCCATTTAACTGCTAACCGCGCCTCCAGCCCATTTGCAAGTTAATATTGTGCATAATTAGTTAATCTTACCCCATCACATAAAGTGTGGCTGATTGTAGTGAGAATCTGATGCACTGTAATCACAGCCTGAAGTTGTAAGGCACCACGTGTATGCTATTCAGCCCTGCCTCCGGGACCTTGTTTTAGGAGTTTTGAGTTGGGGGGGGGGGGGGGTTGCAGGAAATCCCAAGTTCTGATCACATCGATCACGCCGACACGGACACGACGCACCGACATGATCGGTCTCAAAAATGAATTCACTGAACATTCTCGCACATTCAATTGTTCTATGGCTTTACGCTTACAATATTCTTGCGCTTGGATGAGACAAACAACAAACGGGATTTATAAAACTAGTTGAGATATGTGGCCGGGCTGCAGCCTGGCCAGGACAGCCTGTGTATGAAGTTGGAAGGGGGAAAATATGTGGTCGGAGGGGTGGGCAATTCGGCTTATTATGTTGGTCTTCGAAGCGTAGCACGCTAAACAAGATCCCACAAATGTGTAGACCGTGTATTGTTGGTTCCTCCGAGCATGTTTGTGTTCGCCACTATGATTGAGGCATGCAAAGCATTACGAACCAGACGGGATAACAAATTTCTCATACTCGACAGCACATCCAGCTCTTCCGCTTCAAATGTAACGATGTTTTTACAAAGGTGAAACCATCAATGCTTGTGAGACTTTTTATTCGCACACGGATTGGCCCGTTTGCACGATAACAATTATGCTGATGCCTTGCTGTCGCCAAAACATTTCATTGTCGGATGCAAGGCCCAAAAGGCAGATGTCAGCTGGTTTTCTTGCCACATGCCTGAATGTTCGTATTCTCGCCTTATTTATGCTGATTGGAAATATTTTTACGGAACTGATAATGGAATGGCAATGGCAATGAAGCGAATACAGTATACTTTGGTATAGCCATTTGCGACCAGTTTCCATATAATCTTAAGTAATCGGTGTCCACTATGGAAAGAATCGTCGGAATTCTGTCAAAACTGAAAACAACATAGTTCTCCTGCATAACACTGCGATGTGTTCCTTCTCTCACTGCTATGTCGGCGAGCCTCGTCATAACGGTCACGAGTTGGTGATGTTTCTCAGGTGTTTTGCTACTGCTTCATGTGCCGTTCCAAAGTGTAGACTCGATCACAGTCCCTCCCTCCCCCCCCCCCCTTCCGTCTCAGCTGGAATGGGATTCATTTGGGAGGCACGCTCTACCACCATTCGTCTTGTAGCTATCAGAGGGGCTCAGTCTCGTTATGATGAATGAACTCACTTGTGTAGGATGTGAAATTTGCATGCATCATATTTTTCGTATGAGTGCACGAAGCAGTAGTGTATTTTTGAAATATCAATTGGGGAGGCTGGGTAAAATGAGAATGCCGAAAGCTATTTGCTTTTAAACACCAAGTTCAAATCTTGCACGGATATAACACACTCACCTTTCGAAGTAAGGTGTGGAGGGTGCTGACGGCAACGTTGGAAGGTGGAGGGCACCCGGAGTTTGAAGATGAAACTTCATCCTTGGCATTGGAGGTTTTTCGGGTTACTCCCATGTTATGGATTTAGCCACATAGGCAAAGCATGGGAACATGGTTCTGACCACAATGTAGAACGAGATGGATTCCTAGCATAGTCTCATGTCACCTTGCCTACGTTAGCGGGTGTTGCATGTAAACAACGCCTTTGAGACCTCGACGTCGCGCAACTGCTGACCCGCCGTCGCGTCCCCATTGATAGAGCCGCATCAGCCAATCACGATTAGCCAAGGCCAGATGCAAGTCTCCGTTCGCCGGCTGTTTGACTGCGGCGCTTGTCAGACGGGTGAGAAGTCGCGGACCAGCTGACGGCCGGCGGCGAACAGACCAAGCGCCGACATAAGCGTCTCGACGACGGGGATCAGAACGACCTGCGACCGGAACAGCTCGGCGGCAAGACCTGAGATCTGGGACAGTGCAGAAGCTGAACTTTGACGGCAGGACTGCATCCGAAAGTCGCCGTTTGTAATCAAGCCGCATCATCTCGTCGCGCTCACTGCTCCTCAGCGGATCCGCTGTCCCATTGTCGCGCTCACTGCTCCCCAGCGGATCCGATGTCCCATTGTCGCGCTCACTGCTTCCCATCGGATCCGCCGTCCCATGTAAAACACGGAACCTGCAGCAGCAGCCGCCCCGAGAACGCTTTCTTTGATGCCGAGCACCCAGCCCCGAACTGCCCTGCCGTGACGTCCCGCCGTTTCTCGACGCCCTGCCCCTGAGTTCGGAAAACGCAGCCGCTGGGTACACTGTATTGCTGCCGCTGCGCTCCTGCGTCGGCTCCGAAGTCAGGATTGTAGGCACAAAATGTAGCTCTGAAGGCTGTCCAAAGCCTGCTGCAGATCCAAATAACCTGGTGTGTTTAAACTTAACGCTAGTTTGCTTGGTCCAGGCGGGGCACACCTGCCATAAACCTCCAGCCCAGTTTACGTCTGCTCAGTGGGGAGCTTGCGGCCGCTGGTGTCCCCAGCATGAGATCCTTTCTTGAGCCGAACTGGGTGCGTTCATTGGTGAAATACATTTCGTCTAGGCGCCGACCTTTGTGGAGAACCTTACACCGACAGTGTCAAGTCCACGAACCACCCGTCCTAGCTTGTGCAGAACGGCTGATGCCTCGGCCCGTTCTCATACAGAATTTCTCCCTCGTAATCGTGGGTGAAAACCCGGAGCCAAATTATAGAAGCAAAGGAAAGGTACCAACTGTCAAGCTTTGCTGCTCCCAAAGTAGTGTTGTATCGCTGATTTCTTTCTGGCGCGAGCCACTAATATTGCTGGATTTAAATCTACGAGTCACTGAATTTTATTGCTTCAGCCACGCAGACTTCATTTTCCAGGATCCAAGTTCTGAAGATATCACGATCATTTCAAGTTGTTTCCACCGGATGAGGCAAATTTTGGGGAACTTTCTTTTAAAGATAGTGTAGGTAGTTTTATGCTGTTCCCACCAGATATGGCAAATCTTAGACCGTGCACACCTTCAAGGGACTGTTCCACATTTGTATGGGATTTTGTACTAAAATAGCCACCTTGAGGATTACTCGGCGCAGTTCACAACCTGCCAATCTTAATAGCAAAACCCCTCTAGCTTCTGAGCTTCACGTCCGCGAAGATGTGCTGGATATTTCAGGGAGACTACTTCAAAGTCAACGAGGCGTCCATGGCACCAATATAACGCCATTCAAATCCCGCCACTCCGTTAGCCATGCAACGGTCAAGGCTGAGAAAAATATAATTGTCGAATCGTTCACATCTGGCGTTCATGAACACGATTTCCAGACATAACGTCGGTCAATTGGCCCTCAATCAACGCTGTGCAAGGTGCGATGACGTAATCAAACAATGATATATTGAGGAGCATGTTTACTAAACATAGGTTCTGTCCTTTCTGCAGAGGTCTTTCCACTTAAAATTATTCCAACTGTTATAAGTGGACTTAATTCATTATATCTGACAGTTTATTGTTTAAAAATCTCCAGATGTAGAGCATTCCCTTTAAGCTAAAGACAGGTTAGTGAGCTGCTTTTGCGAGCTGCCAGCCGACAAATAACATCTTCAACAACTGGAGATTTTAGAAATAACAGTGCATGGCAGTTCTGAACAAAAGGAGGAAGAGCGGAATTGTGATTTCTAAATTGGTATCAAGCATTATAAGCTATAGGTCTTCTAGCGTTGTCATCACTCGCTTTACAGGACCACCTAATGCAAACCATGCCGCAGAATACAATATTCGATAATTTGGCCACACCACTGCTTGGAGAAAGGGAGAGACAGAGAAACGGTGCCCATGCCACCAAAACGAGACCCTCAGTCACAGCACGGACATGAAAACTGTGTATTCAACCTATCATATACAAACCCGCAAAAAGTCATGCTGATTTTGGTGTTGTCTCCACCCAATGACCCATGCATTGGTGCACTGCCGGCCCACTGGTAGGGCACTGCCATTGGTGCGCTGCCCGCCCACTGGTAGGACGCTACCATTGGTGCATTGCCCGCCCACTGGTAGGGCACTGCCATTGGTGCATTGCCCGCCCACTGGTAGCCGGTGGTGCACTGCCCGCCCACTGGTAGGGTGCTGCCAGTGGTGCACTGCCCGCCCACTGGTAGGGCTCTGCCATTGGTGCACTGCCCGCCCACTGGTAGGGCGCTGCCAGTGGTGCACTGCCCGGCCACTGGTAGGGCGCTGCCATTGGTGCACTGCCCGGCCACTGGTAGGGCGCCGCCATTGGTGCACTGCCCGCCCACTGGTAGGGCGCTGCCATTGGTGCACTGCCCGCCCACTGGTACGACGCTCTAGCAGCGGACGGGAATGCTCTATCGAGCGCGAGCACGATCAGACGGAGACTTCATAATCCGCTGGCAGGGCCCTACGCCCCAACGTATCTCACAACCTAAACCTAACGTGGCACGCCCCTCCCCGACCCCACAATTGCGCAAACACCCGGCTTTTTGTCAGCTGCCTGCCTTCGCAGCGGCCTTTTGGCCAGAGTTGGGGTGCGGCTTAGGCTCTGCGCGAGCCTCGTTGCGTTATCGGGGCCACGTCAGCCCCATTCCCTCACGGCCCTCTGCGTGGAAGCCCTCCAAGTCGCGGGCGGTCGCCGTCACACCGGCGGTCACTGCGCATGCGCGCTCAGCCGACGCACAGCTGAGCGTGCCGGCCCGGCCAGGGATTGGCTGTCGGTGGATCTCAGACCGCCTCAGTATTGTGGTGGCGGCTGGCGTGGTGGGGTGCGCTGCGTGTGTGCTCGGTCCGCGCTCGCAGGGGGACTATCCCGCTGGAGGCCGAGAGGAGGGGGACAGCGACACGAGGACGGTTCGGAGCGGAGAGCCGGCGCGTGCGTAGTGTGCGGCAGCTGACCTGACCTGTCTGTGGTGCTGATGCGGACGGTCCCGCGCTCAGGAGCTCCTCGTCTGCTGATCCGGTAAGCACGACTCGTCTGCGACTGGCGCACAGCAGCTCGGCTAGCGCGCAGTAGCTCGACTGGAGGTGCAAAAGCTCGGCTGGAGGCGCAATGGCTCGACTGGAGCCACAATGGCTCAGCTGGTAGCGCAATAGCCGCCTCCGTGGTCTAGGGGAAAGATGCTGGACTCGTAATTCAGCGGCACTGGGTACGAGTCCCAGAGTGGGCGCATTGCTTGACCCGACTGAAACGGAAAGGCCAGCTGGCAACTGGCCAACGAGGGTCAACCCAGGCCCGAGGCGGCCGTGTCGCAGCATTGTGCGGCACGTAAAACCCTCCGCATTCCTGTCTGGCAAAAGGGCGGAGGCAAAATTACCTGTTGAACTGGACGGCACGCTTGGGTGGTGGGTTCGGGGTGCACGCAACAAGCTATGCTTAGCAGGTACTCTGAATTCGAAGTCACCCATGCAAACCATTCGGAATAAATTTAAAAAAAAAATAGCTCGGCTGGGGCACGATAGCTCCGCTGGGCGCATTAGCTCGGCTGGGAGCGTATCAGCCCGACTGGGGACACAACAACTTGACTGGGGGCGCAAAAGCTCGGCTGCACTTTTAATAGCTCCGCTGGGGGCGCATTAGTTCGGCTGAGGACGCGCTGGCTCGTCTGGCGGTGAAATAGCCCGGCCTAGGGCGTAATGCGTGGCAGTTCGGCTGGGACCATCTCACACTTCCACGGAAGGCACAGGCTCGAGTCCCACGTGTACCTACTCCTGCGTGCGGCACGTACACAGAGGTAAGTACACGTCCTGGAAGCCATGCTATGTGGCTCGTTTTTGAGGGTCCATTAGCAGCTGGCTGAGATTGCCGGTATGGAGCAGTGCTATGTCAAAAGCCCTGCATGAAAGCCGGTTGGTAAACGGCATCACTAGGGCTAGAATGAGCCGACCGGGGTGGCAGGACCAAAGTATTTGCAGCATGTGATGATTGATAATTTATTTTTTGCACTGAATTTAAATTTTCCCATTGATATTCACCGAAGCCTGTGGTTTAAAAGGAACGCATAACTAAGATAGTATCGTTGAAGTTATCTGTCATAGGCGCAAGTCAAATACATTCGAGTTTACATTGCCATCAACCTGTACGCTGCTATTTGATGAACTGCAACAACTGGAACAGCCTTAATGTATTTTCAAACTGTTCGTAACATATAATAGAACTATACGAGTACAACCGCTTTGTGAGGTAATCAAAACATTGATATGTTTTGGATTTGGTATAAACAAATTAATTGAACGTTTAAGTTGAAATTTCAAGCTCTTATTTAATGATGAAATTTGATCATGCATTAACATCCCTTCTGTAAGTTGGTTTTGAAAAAGTTGCAAAACTGAAAAAGAGCACACAATGGCAGTGACGCAAATGCCGCTTCGGGATGGGTTATTTTACGTTTGCTCCTTTATTTCTAGCGCTTTTATTGCTTGCGTTTTCTTTATTATCAATAATGGTCAATCCATTATTGAGCAAAGAACATCGTTTGTGATGTTTTTCGTGCGCTCCCATTTTGTTATGTTTGCGTATTTAGCGCATCTTCAAGTTTTTTTTGTAGGCTGCTTTCAGCGATAGTCAATCTTCAGAACGGATCAGTCATCCCCGACCGGAGCCAGCCGATCGACTGACACAACTAGCTGGATACAGCCACAACCAATGAGTCCAAGTCTTTTTTTGTAGACTGCTTTGAGCGATAGCCAGTCTTCAGAACGAATCAGCCATCCCCGACCGGAGCCAGCAGATCGACTGACACAACTAGCTGGCTGCAGCCACAGCCATTGAGTCAAAACATCTGTCACTTGGCCTTGCTTCCGGTTTGCGTGTGTATGGCTAACGCTGCAGCGTTGCGCATGACGCAGCGTGATGTGTGATGCACAACTGCCCGGCGGTCGCGGACTTGCCTCCACATCGCTCTAGATAGGACAGCAATGCGGATGATGAAATGCTGGGCCATAAAACGTCCTTTGCTGGCAGCTTGACACATTGATATCGTGGCCACGTTGCGCGAGACATGCGCTTTTGAAGCTCGGTAAGGTGTTGCGAGTCATTTCAAGTCACATGCAGGCTGTTTCAATAGTTGTTTAAGCGACTGAAAGTATTTTAACCGCGAGCACTGCTCTATTGCGTCATGTAAATTGTAACAGTCCACGCGTCATCGAACCCCGAGGCTAACACCGCAACGATGACCGCACCCCCACGCACCGCTCCTCCCCCCGGGGACACTGACGGCGTGGTCACTAACGCCACGATCTTCAGGCGGCTGGCTCACTGGAGCCAGACGCTTCCTGCGCCGGCCGTTTGGAGCGCGGCTGTAGCTGTATCCTCTGTAACGTGACGTTTTAACGTGACGCCTAACCTCTGTAACGTGAGCTGTGGAGTGGATGTCAAAGGGAAGCCAACCCACGGATGCTTGCGTGCGCAGGTAATGCAAAGCCGAGCCTTCAATTTCGTTACGCCGGCGATAGCGTTGAAGCTGCATGAAACAACTGCATGAAATCGGTGCAAATTCGATAGCTGATACTGCTACACTCATCGTGGTTTACAACTGGGCTTAGTGGACGCTCAGTTCGCAGTTATTTCCAACTGCCATCGCTGCGATGGGCGGTGGTCCAATAAGCTGATGTTATTGTCGACCTCTCAGAGCTGAGACGGGTGTCGCAATCCCTACCTCAGCTGATCATACGCCGCACGTTTGATGCAGGCCGTGTGGCGTAGCCATCATCCAGTGTGATTCCGAATCGAAGAATTCACGCGAATGCATTCAATCAGAGAAATTCAACACCGGCATAGTGCAGCTTACCACTGCGCTGCTAAAAGCTACCCCTGCCATCTATCCGATGAACCTCTGGAGCTCGTCTGTCCGCTTATAGATTTGCCTGGGTATTGGGGTTCAAAACACCGCAGACAGGACAGAGGCTTTCGCCTAATGACTCGTTGGCGAGCTTCGCACTCCATTGACAGACCATTGCCCAACTGGTCTGTTCTGCGCTTTGTCCGCGTTCCAACCGCTCTTCTAAACACCAAAGGACCGCTCAATGGCCAATTGTTGCACGTCAGCCACTGGCTTTGCTGACAAGTGAATCACTGTCCAAAGCGTCCGGAACATGCACCGGGTTCTCGCCTACTGGTTGAAACGTTTCCGTCCATCATCCCAATACGGCTGCAGTAGGTGTGTGCTGCACAGTGAGGGCTGTTGCGGCTCGTCGGCGCCGGCATCTGGTGCAGTCGTGACGCGGAGAGCGGCTAGCGATAGCCGTGCGTCATGCCACGCTGCGGCTCGCCCCTGTCTTGAGCTGGGGCTCCAAGCGAGTCTGACGCCATCCACCGCCAGCTGAGGCGTGCTGATCGACTTCTCGCGAACAAAACGCAGACAGATTGTAAAATTAGGTGTCAGGCTACGGCTGAGTGTTATGGACCGCTTGCCTGCTTCTGTGGTTACATTGGCATTATGCTGTGCTTGGTGGCACTGTTTGAACGGTGATATCTGCACCCGAAAGTTTCATGTTGAGGACTAACGTCGGCCACTAAGCGTGTGCGCTGGTCACTCCTCGCTGAGCGTATGCACTGACCAGTCCCCGCTGAGCGTGTGTGCTGGCCAGTCCCCGCTGCCCGCTGAGCGTGTGCGCTGGCCAGTCCCCGCTGCCCGCTGAGCGTGTGTGCTGGCCAGTTCCCGCTGTCCGCTGAGCGTGTGCGCTGGCCAGTTCCCGCTGCCCGCTGAGCGTGTGTGCTGGCCAGTCCCCGCTGCCCGCCGAGCGTGTACGCTGGCCAGTTCCCGCTGAGCATGTGCGCTGCCCAGTCCCCGCTGAGCGTGTGCGCTAGCCAGTCCTCGCTTGGCGCGTGCGCTGGCCAGTCCCCGCGACTCAGTGTCTCGACAGACACTGCAATTGCAATGAGCTGGAGATCCAAGCTCGGCGCGGTGCCGCTCCGCCACCATTCTGCAACTCGTAAGGCACCTCTAAGCCGGCAAATTACGCCGCTCGTCCGTCCGCCAGCTAACTCGCTGCGTCGACCGCCGACGCAGAGCGCAAACTGGGCGTGCGCGGACCGGCTGATTGCGGATCAATCACGATTACGGTTACGCGATCCGACGCGGAGCGCGTCCGCGATCAAAGCAACGCAGCGGTCGTATGACGAAGAACCGACCTGGCGCGCTTTGGTCGGTAAAAGAGCAGTGCCTGGGCGGCAGGTAATCCCGTCTGCCGCACCGCGCGCGGTGTAATCCCGGCCTGAACCCGGCATCCGGCCGGCGGCTCGGCAGCCTCGGCTACTGACACCGCGCCGCACGCGGCGTAATCTCGGCCCGGACACGGCATCCGCAAGGCCAGCCGGCTCGGGCGCCTCGGTCGCTGACGGCGCGCCGGCGCGGCGGCGGCCACGCTCCGCCGAGCCTGGCGCTGATGACCCTGATGGTGCTGATGGCGCTGATGGCGCTGATGGCACTGATAGCGCTGATGGCGCTGATGGCGCAGAGCCTGGCGCTGATGGCACAGATGGCGCTGATGACACTGATGGTGCTGATGGTGCTGACGACACTGATGGTGCTGATGTTGCTGATCACGCTGATGACGCTGATGGCGCAGAGCCTGGCGCTGATGGCAGCTGATGGCGCTGATACACTGATGGCCATGATGACACTGATGGCACTGAGCCTCGCTCACAGCAGCGGCGGCGGCCGGCCTTTAGCACAGCCGTCTTCATCGTCAGGAGCTCGAACCAACGTGTCAGCGTTGCTTCACCATCACACCACCACACATGTTTTAACTGAGGTAAAGAATGTCACACCCGCGTGGTGTACATGACAGTCGGATGTACAGCGCAGACTGAAGTCTGCGGACTGAAGACTGAAGCCTAGCCTGCCATCGAGGCAGGCCCACGCTAGGTAAGGATGAGAGGTGACTCGCACGCCGTGTTGTGGTCCTCTTTGGCCTTGCTGACGAGCTCCAATTGGCTCCGCTTGGCCCCAGCGGTCTGGC